GAACGCAATAATACACCAGGATAGTCACATAGAAGAAACAAATGACGGCACTGCATGTATTTCGGCTGCATTTCCGGGTAATCTGATAAAAGCAACAATTCCAGTCACAATAAATGATCTCCGAGCTGATGCTCTTATTGATACCGGAAGTTCATGTAGTTTTATCATTTATCATTATTGGGCATGATATTTTAAAACATCACAGATCTTTAGAATTCAAATTTGATGGAGACAGAGAACCACTTCAAATATGCAATGTAATGCAGGCTTCAGTACCTCCAGCTACTATATTCTCTAACCTTTCGTCCGAATTAATTCCTGTTGCAATTAAATCGAAAACTTTTTCTGAAAATGACCAAAATTTTATTAAAGATGAAATTGAAAAATTGCTGAAAGATGGAGTTATTGAACCAAGCGTATCACCATGGAGAGCTCAAGTTCTAGTAACGGGTGGAACTACACATCGTAGGAGAATGGTGGTAGATTATTCCCGAACCATAAATCGTTATACTGAATTAGATGCCTTTCCTTTACCAAAAATTGATTCAATAATATCTAAAGTGTCAAGATATAACTATTTTAGTCAAATTGATTTAAAATCTGCTTACCACCAAGTTCCAATATTAGAGAAAGAACGACCATTTACAGCGTTTGAAGCTTGCAGGAACTTATATCAATTTACTCGCATTCCGTTTGGCGTCACTAATGGAGTAGCAGCCTTTCAACGAACTTTAGAGTACGTCATACAAAAAGAGAAGCTAAAGGGGACGTATGCTTATTTAGATGATGTTACAGTTTGTGGGAAAACAAAAGAAGATCATGATGAGAACTTATCAAAATTCATGGAAGCGGTTGCTAAATATAATCTAACTCTTAATAAAGATAAGTGTACTTTTGCAAGTGAAACTATTAATCTATTAGGATATACAATTAGTAATAACATAATTACACCAGACAAAAGTCGTCTAAAGCCATTAATGGATTTACCTTTACCTAATAATACTGCTTCCTTAAAGAGAGCACTTGGAATGTTTGCTCATTACTCAAAATGGGTGCCTAACTTTTCAGCTAAAATTCAACCACTTGTACGAGCAAAATTACCACTCAATACGGAGCTAAGTGACAGTTTTCAACAACTTAAAAGAGATATCGCTAAGGCAGCATTGATAAGTATAAACGAAACTGATCTCTTAACGATAGAAACCGATGCATCAGAATACGCTATTGCTGGAACCTTGTCTCAAAATGAAAGGCCAGTGGCATTTTTTTCACGATCATTAAATGACGCCGAGAAAAAGCATTCTTCTATTGAAAAAGAAGCCTATGCTATCGTTGAGTCTTTACGAAAATGGCGTCATTTTCTAGTTGGCAGACATTTTTTACTAGTGACAGATCAAAGATCAGTATCTTTTATGTTAAATCAGAGACATAACAGCAAGATCAAAAATGAGAAAATTGAAAGATGGCGGCTAGAATTGTCTTGCTTTAAGTATGATATAGTATATCGGCCGGGCAAAGAAAACGTTTCCGCCGATACATTGTCTAGAGTTTGCGCTAGCCTTAGTACTAACAAGTTATATGACTTACATAAATTATTGTGCCATCCAGGTGTGGTAAGAATGTGGCATTGGATTAGAACAAAGAATTTACCATACTCGATTAATGACGTAAAATCTATTACGGCGTCATGTCCTATATGTGCAGAAATTAAGCCGCGATATAATAATGCACATAGTCATTTAATTAAAGCTACAGAGCCTTTTCAACGTCTCAGCATTGATTTTAAGGGTCCTTTGCCCACGATTTCTCGTAACAAATATATACTCACGATAATTGACGAATATTCAAGATTTCCGTTTGCCTATCCATGTCCTGATTTATCTTCACGATCTGTCATTAAATGTCTTAAAGATTTATTCCTTACTTTTGGAGCACCCGCTTATATTCATTCAGATAGAGGAACGGCCTTTGCATCGGATGAAATGAAACAATTTCTAACAACCTATGGTGTTGCCTCAAGCCGTACTACTCCATACAATCCTCAGGGAAACGGACAGGTGGAACGCTTGAATGGGACGCTTTGGAAAACTATTCAACTCAGTCTTAAGTCAAATGGTTTAGATAGTTCATGTTGGGAACAAGTATTAAACGTCGCCTTGCATTCTATACGATCACTCCTGTGCACAGCTACCAATGAAACACCACATGAGCGTCTATTTCGCCATACACGTCGATCACCGACAGGGGATACTATACCTTCATGGTTATTAATTCCCGGTCCAGTACTAATGAAAAAGAACGTTAGAACATCAAAATTTGATCCTGCCGTAGAAGAAGTAGAATTACTTCATGGAAATCCTCATTATTCACATGTTCGCTTGTCTGATGGACGTGAAACCACGGTTTCAAATAGACAATTAGCCCAACTACCGACAGAGGACTACGATTCTGATGAGGAAGTCGATGCTGCAGATGTACCTGTTGTTACAGGTGATATATCAGATAGTTTTCCTAGAGAGACTGACGCTACTGCCTCTCCATCTGGCACTCAAGAAGAAGGTACCGAGGTTTTGCGTCGGTCGTCACGAGATAAGAAGATGCCTGAATATCTTAAGGATTTTGTTAGAAACTAAATAACATGGGAGGGGTGAATGTAGTATTAATATGTTGTCTATTGTTCATTTGACTTTGTCAATATGAATTCAGTATATGTCTAATGTAACTAATATTTTTATGTTGATTAAAACCAATATTCTAATGATAAATTGGTTATTTCTATCAGGATCAGTGGTACCCTTTTCGATTCCGCACTCGCATGTGGAACTATCTAATGTACGGATCTTTGAAACTAAGACCGGTGAATAAAGTAACTTATAAGAGCGCTGAAGTTGACAGATTTATTTATAATTTCCTAGGAAAATGCAAGCACAGAAAAAACTATTTTTTTGCGTACTCCAGTTACGAGTGCAACCGGTGACATCTAGTATAAAATAGTTGAACTTGATATACGAGATCATTTAGCTAGTACATCTGGAGCAAGTTAGATGGCCCAAAGGGTATCTTGACATATAATTCATAAACATAGATGTTTGGCACGAAAACATCGATGTGCCGATGTTATCCAATTTAAAACATCGATGTTTAATATCGATCATCCCTAGAGTAAATTGAAATAATTTAAAAGAGAAATTGAAGTCGTACTGCGTATTTTTTACTTTTTTATTTTCCTCTGCTCTGGTTTTCTTTAAAAAGTGAGGTACAAATTGTGCGTAGTGCCACAATGTACTAATACTTCTATAAATAACAAACAAACTTCGAGTCTAGAAGAAAATAGATTCACAATCACAATAGTATAGTAGCTATATAGAGTAGAGATGGACGGGTGATAAAATTAGGTAAGGATTCGCTAAAAGTATTGAAACTTTTTTATTTCATTCATTTCAGTCTGTGCACCAAATGCATGGCATTTGATAATTAGATATCAGATACCGATGATTTTTTAAAATTAGTTTTTAACTTGGAGAACACTATATATCATCAAAATCGACTTTGTAATTTTGAATTATTATAGTAAAGTTCAAGAAATGAGAAAAACATGTAAGTTGCTCTTTTTTTAAATTGTTGGCGTTTTCCCTATTTCTTGGATTTTTTAAAAAGTTTAGTAAATGATTCTTTTTTTTCTGTATTTCTTTTTGGCAGTTCTTATCAGTAGAAGCGGTAAAGTATTCTGTTATCAGTAAATTACTATAAAGTACTCGACACCTACAGGTATCGATATTTTATGTATCTCTCTAACACTACTTTGACATGACAGCTGATGACGTCACAGGCCAGTAAACAGAATCGTGATTGGTTGTGACGACGAACATTAATAGGATGTTTTCGGCGTTGAATAAATTCCGAAAAATATTGCATTTTCTTTACGTTATTTTATTAAATCTAAACAAGTTTTTTCTGCAAATGTTAAGAAATAAGCTTTATTAGATTATTATCTATCAGAATGACCACAAAATGTGTCAAATACCCTATTAGGTAGAGTTATTTATGTACTTGCATCGAAATGTTGATATGAATGTGGAACTTCCCGGGTTTTCTTTATTTCTTTCTTTCATTGATGTAAGTTTGGCAACGTCGTGCGTGCAGTAGTTTAAATTGTGTAAAAGTAAATAACTTTTTATTTAAAAAATCACGGAATTTTTTTCTGCTCTTTAAAATTTATCTCGGGATTTGAGGCATATCCACTTTATTCTTTCGCTGTATGAAATTAGTGTAAGTACATGAATAACTCTACCTAATTCCGACCACTGCTCATCACTTATGTTGACATATCAATCAAACATCGTTCCTTTACACGTAACATAATAAATAACTTAAACTTACGATTCAATAAATTAAAATTAATTTGAAAGTTAGATATTACAAGAAACACGAAATGATGTCATATTTATTAATTTACGGTACTCAATTTATTTTATTACGTCAGAAACAAAATTTGAATGAATATGATACATAAGATCCAAACATCGCTAGTGACATCTAGTTTGATTTCAAGAACTAATTTTTATTTTTTAAATACGTCCTCATATTCATTCACTATACATATCATAAAAACATTATTGAGACTGGATGTGATTTCGTTGCTGTTAGTTTAACTAATAACTAAAGCAACAATATTATATAACTTACCTAGTTGTTATTGTTTTGCATTTAAGCAATAGCCTTGTTGGTTCATTTTGAAATAGATTATGTCAAGACTGAAATCTAAAAAACAGCGCCTTTCGATTAATCGCGACATTTTAAAACTACGTTAAATGTATATTTATTTCTTTTATTAATGGCTTATCTGCGCATATAGCACAATTATTAATCATAAAATTTGCATTGCAAATGTCAGTTTAATCGATCTAAATAAAAATCAGGTTTTATGATTATAGCTTTTTTCATAATGTTTTAGTTCTCTTTCATAGTAAAATGTTGGCAACACTGAATTTATCAATCGAGACGAGAAAGAAAAAATATGGCTTCCTATTCAGTTAACTCGTAATTCTCTTGTACGTGACTTATTAAGATAATTGCATATTACAGTTTATAAGTTACGAACAAGAACTTCCAGAAAAATACGTTACAATAAGGACAATATTTAGGCTTCATACCAGTGATTGTTAGCAGGTAAACGAAATGGAAGTGTGAGGTCATTGTTCGACGTTTTAGGGCATCCATGGTTCCGGACTGGTTGAAGGCGTTGTTCGTGAGTAGTGTTTGATAATGTTGATGTTCGCAGGCAGCAATGTCGTGGCGTGGCCGCGAAGAACGAGGCTCACGATGGAACGAGCATGACACACGGTGGAGTGAGAACAGGCAGCGGTCACCTGTATGGGAACCGCGCTCGCCGCGTTGGAGCACCAGCCCCGACCGGCGCGACCGTCATCGTGACCGCCACGACCGCGACCGCCACAACGATGACCGTCGTGATCGGCATGACCGCGATACTGACCGCCACCGTAACGAACGTAATCGCGATCGCTACGACAGGAATCGTGACCGTGAACGTGATCGGGACCGTGATAGAGACCGCCGTCGGTCACCGCGTCGCTACGAGGACGACAAAGACATTCCTGCGGCTCCTTCACCGCCTAAGATAAGTAGTGATGTTGAAAAACGCTCAAACTCTGGTTCGCGTAGCAGATCACGCAGCAGGGAACGGGACGAAAATGATAAGTTTGATAAAGATAAACAGGAAGACCCCAGTGCCATAATAGCTTCCCCAGGGGACTGGTTCTGCAAGTGTGGTCTTTACAATTTCAAAAGGCGCCAGGTTTGCTATAGAAGAAATTGCCTAGGCAAACGTTCAGAAGGTATTGTTTATGGAGGTGACACAGATAGAGCTGCATTTAATGAAGCTGCAGGAATCACTAAGCGCTTATTATTTAGGCGGCTCGATGCATTAACTACTGAAGAGAAAATTCTTGATTCCATTAAAGATCGGTGTTCAAAATCTGTTTTAGATTCTATAGCAGGCATAACTATAGGTCGTGAAACCTTGACAGGAGCTTCAAAATGTTTAGCATATATAAATTTTAATTCTATAGCAGATTCTACTGCTGCTCACTCTGAATTAGTTTCTTTACAACCTCCCCTAGAAATAGATGGGCGTGAAGTGTTGATAACATTCTATAATGAACCAAAAAAGATTCAAAAGCTTACCAATGCTGATTATTCCACATATTATGCTCAAATGGCAAGTTATTCTGGTTCCACTCAAGCTTTGTCTGAGGCAGATAGAGTGAATGCTGCAGCTGCAGTAGCTCAATCTGCCATATCTGCAGCACAAGCCCGTCAAATGGCTTGGACCCCTGTCGCTGTTCCTACATTTGTTGCTTCTGCTGCTCAGCCTTCTCCTGCTGTCAATATACCTACAGGGGATGCTAAAACAAAATACAGTGCACCTGATGTCCGAACTTTTATGTATGATGAAACATCAGGATATTACTATGACCCTGCAACTGGCTTATATTATGATGGTAATACCCAGTATTTCTATAATAGTACAATTAATCAGTATATGTATTGGGATGCCACTAGCTCAACATACATAGCGGCTACACAGAATCAACAAAATACTGATCAAACAAAGTTGCCAAACCCTCCACAAGCCACAAGTGAAAATACAATTGGCAAAGATCCACCTGAAGAAAAGAAAAAGAAGGAGAAAGAAGATAAAGTCAAAGTTGCTAAAAAGATAGCAAAAGATATGGAGAGGTGGGCTCGTACCTTAAATCAGAAGAAAGAAAATGCGCGTAGCAATATTGTGATGGAACAGCCCCTTGACATGGGTGCTAGCAAGGGATCTGCAGATATAGGTTTCTCTGTCTTAGGTGCTGGGCCTTCCATTACTCATGTACGAGAAATATCTCCACCACCAGTTTCTACTGATGAGTTTTTAGTTAAAAAAGTAGTAGATACAAACACATCCTTTGATAATGATGAAGGTATTATAGATTGGATGAAATTGACATGCCTTCTTTGTAAACGTAAATTTCCATCTGCTGATGTGCTTACTAAGCATAAATCTATGTCTGAATTGCATAAACAGAATTTAGTTGAGTACCGTAAAAAGAGTGAATTATTACCACAAACCAATGGCTATAGGGACAGAGCAGCAGAACGTAGAATGAAATTTGGTGAAGATGAGCCCCCTATCAGGAAGAGATATGAGCCACCAGAAGTATTGAGAGCTTCTATACAATCGCACCCACCACCTTCAGTTGTGGATACCATAGGAGGTAAAATGTTGCAGAAAATGGGCTGGTCTGAAGGCCGAGGATTAGGAAAAGAGGAGCAAGGCAGAATAGCTCCTATTGAAGCAGAACAGAGACCTGGTTTAGCTGGCCTTGGACAAAAGAGAGGTATCTACACTCCCACCCCTGGGGAAACATACAGAGATACAGTTAAGAAACTAATGATAGCCAGATACAAAGAAGTGGTTGGACAAGAAGATGAGAAATAGGTGGGTTTGATTTACTAATTTTTTGTCTTTAATCATACCTCTTTACAGGTCCTTGGATGTCACAGGTTAGTGAATTTCACTATTTACATTACTAATAAATTAATAATCAATGTCGCCCTTTATTCAGGGAATAATGTAACCTATTGGAAAGATTACAACATAATAAATAAACTTTTTTGTGTTTTTGTTTAAACATTTTTGCACTCTGTGTGTGTAATGAAAATAATTTTTAGATCTTCAAATAAGAAAGTTCACTATCATTGCCAGGCATTTTTCTAAGAGGGTAGATGAGTGACATTTATTTATCTAATGGTTTGATTCTCATTTACTATGCTAGATTGGCGCCGTTACACCATGAGGCCAGACAAAGCATAGCGTCCTTACATGAGGTGAGTATTAATTGTAAACTTAGATGTGTCTTGTTCCTAACTTTGTTTTTTTCACAGAATTGGGACAGGTAAATATATAGCCAATGACCCACAGGATCATCAGATACTTACAGAAGGAAAGTGATATTCACAGGACATACAAATATTATTTCTATGACGTTATACTGGATTATGGCTATGTAATTAATATGTCAACATAAAATGTTTGTCAGCAATAGTCACTCATGCTGTCTTTTTCCTGTACACTATAAAAGTATAGCATGCTTTTGAACTTAAGTTGTCAGATCGCCATAGGCAATATATTAACTGAAACTATTTAAGCAATCTTTTGAGTTGTATTTGACTTTTTGTCCAAATTTCAATGTTTCCCTCAAAGCTAAGGGTTCTAGGTCCACATTTGTAGCGCACAGTCAAGAGGCAACATTGGAATATGTGGAATTAGAGAGACTTGGACACAAACTGTGATTGAACTGTGATATACTTGTGTTGTGAATTTGAAGAACGGTGAACTCTTAAATGCCATGGCTTTATATTGATGAATGTGACAATTTACATTACAGAGTCTACGCCTGCCATCGGATCTTCGTGCCAAACATTGTTACAATACAACCTGTATAATATACCTTAGAGAATGCTCTTAATACTCATAGGCTTAAAACGTTTTGTAAATACTTGAAATGGTTAATTTTCCAAAATAAATTCATAATATGTAAAGTCATTAATAGCGCGTTAATATTTTGTAATCAAATTACTTGATTAATTAGTTTTAATGAAAACGATAATATTATTTTCTGTTTAGTTTGACCTTGATGTTTTTTATATCCTTAACTTATTTTAGATTAAAGTTTAATTTATTCTTTTATTCCGTTTTAATCGAAATTGAGGGAAGTTATCAATTTGATTTATTATAGGTATGTAGATAGAATCCATTTTCATACAACATATTATCAACTTAACGTACCTATTTAAAATTATATGGGCGATGTAGGTTTACAAAAGAACAATGTCTTATTTTTGCATTTAATTATTAAGGTATATATTTGGTAGGTAGTTAGGATTAGTTATTAGGTTAGATTTTAAACAATAGTATAATTAAAACTCGGTTGCTATTTAGTATTTTTTTTACTATTTTTAAATGTAGAGAGATTCTATTTTGAAGTAATAATAGCGTTACAATTATTGTAATTAGGTAACAATGTAAATATTTTGAATAAGTTATCTCTTAACGTACGGTTAAAAAAAAAATGCTTTGGATTATTAAGTTAATAATTATGAATAAAACTTATTATTTATGCATTATTAAGTGCTCATTTATTGATGTATAATATTAGTAACAAGGAAGTAAGCTACACATTTTTTATGTGCAATTTGATTATATTGTTGTATTAGTAAGCTCTTTGTTTCATTTCAATCTTTAGCTTATACCCATGGAGCTCAAAGCTGTTAATTAAGATAGCGATAGCGCGACCTAATTCAAATATAGAAATGAATTATAATGGTGGCAATTCTTTTGTATTACTCTGTAACTCGATTTTTAAAATTTTGATTTATGTTCATATAATATAAAAATACAACTATCCTAGTATCGGCCACCGTCTAATGTCGGCTGTTTTGATAATTGGAACATATATCTAAAAATACTCTTAAAATTATAATTTCTTTTACACAAAAAGTAGTTCCATATCCATTCGAGAAACCTCCTATATCTTGGTGTGGGTACCCCAACATTTGAAAGTTCAGTTGATAACACTGCGTTACACGATTTTGGTACCCGTTAAACTGATAGCTGGAATGAATAGGTAATGAGTCACAGATAAAATGTTCCAAATATATCTGGGGATACCACATATATTTGGAATCACGTCTAGTTTTGGAGGTATATGTCAGTCATTATTTTAAACTCTCGCCTTAGGTGTAAAAGAAACAGTTGAGGTTTTCGATGTATTATACTTTTTTATTGTTTTGTTTTATTCATAAATCGTTTCTATTCGATAACCTTGATATCTCTAAACATATTTATTTAAAAATCCAACATGAATACTGAACTAAGTGGCCGTCGCAACTGTAAAAATGAACCAAATAAATAAGTTTTGTTATGTTTGTGGACAGTACATTTTTTTTTAGTTTTTATAAAAGTGAGAAGTGCATATTTACTTTATTTTGGACGTGTAAATCAAGATAAATCATGGATACCACAGTTTTTTGTGTTACGTGCTATGCTACTCTCATATCTTGGTTAAATGGAAACATGACGTCGATGCCATTTGCCGTACCAGCTTTATGGCGTGGACCTAGTAATAATTTTTATGATTGCTACTTTTGGATGACTGAAAAAAATTCAAAAGAAACATCATTTAGTATCCTGACATTCCTTTATATTTGAAACAACTACCTCACAAAGAAGAAATGCCTCCTCCATTACCTCATACCAAAAATGAAATTGAGATTTCAGAAGCGCAAGATATGCCAAATGTTGTAAAATATAATGACGACAAATGCTTGGTTATAACTGTAAAATAGTTTTTAGGGAACCATAGAACCTATAAAGAAGCTTGAAGAGCGATTTCTAGATCATTTGGATACAACTATGCTAGGCGATTACTGCTGGCGTCTAAAATGAGAAGGTCCTTCAAAACACAACAGATAAAGTAAAAATTTAAAGGTACTCTGGGTTTAAATTGTATGCATTGATTTTTCTTGTATTTTTTTATACCAAAATGATAAAATTAAACTCGATTAATGAAAAATATCTGGTACATTTTATTAGATATCTTTAAATTATGTTTGAATCTTTAAATTTTTATTGTAATTTGTCATATCCTCACGGAAAAAAAATGAGACGTCATAGAAAGAAAATATGTATGTATTCTTACTAAACGATAGGAATAAATAGGAAAACACGACATTTCAAAGCGGGTACTTAATTTTTTTTTCATTTGTAACGCAGTGTAATAAAGCGCGGGCAGGTGTAAACGTACGTAGTTTGGTGGCATTACCAAGTTCAATCAGTAAGTCTAAGCTCTGCGTTGATTGATATGTATTTGAACAGGATTTAATATAATTGAGTTGTGTCAGTTTCTTTAGTTTTGAAAAAAAAAGAGTTAAAGTACTGTTTATATAGTGTATATTTTTGCGTATCTTTGTCTTTTTTCTTATGAGATCGAGAGGCCGAGATTAGGGATCTGTATTTTTATTATTGGATTAATATCGGCTGAGTGGTCGATATTGGGAAAATTCATTAAAACCTAACGTCGACCGCCTAAAAACTATTTTTATCAGCTACGGCCGATATAAAGGGAATCTATGCGTAATAGTGATCACTTTCTTTTCTCTCCCGAGGTTACTATAAGTCAAGAAATAAAATATTGCCCAGTTTGTAGTCGTCCAAATTCTAAAATATCCAAGACTTCTGAATATGGTGTCTCGCATGTTTTAAGAAAATATATAGGTACCTACTTATTCTATCGTCAGGGCATCTCCATGAATGTGTAATTATTCCGGCAGCGTGTCGTGGCGACTTGTGACGGAATAGCAACGTGTTCGCAACAACTCGTTGCAATCACCGCATTTCCTTGACGATGCTTTGTTCTTTTATGTGTTGAAAGAATTCAGTTACATGCCAGACAATAGCAAATTAAATAGTGTCTCAGACGGTACAAGTCAATACAAGTGAATGTGATGTTGTCTAATATTTATTTCTCCTTATTGTTGCCCGACATGTTTTTGGAATTTTCTTTGATGAGGGAGTATTAGAAGTGGGGGTTAAAGTACGAAATTGCTGTTTTATTCTAATAGGTTGCTTGAATTGACATACTGCGAAAATTCGAGTGATTTTTGAATACGAGTTAAATCAATAAATCAACAAAATAAATTATTAATTAAAAATACAACGATTAATTAAAAATCGATTTTTTATCAACAATGTCACACCCCTAATGTTGCGTTTGGAGAGGGTTTGCCATATATAAATATAGACAGGTGCAGGCCCAAATGGGCAGACTGGGCATTTGCCCTAGGGCCCCTAATTTTTGGGGGCGCAAAATAAAAGAGATAATAAAAATGAGAGAAACAAATTGCCTTAAAAATATAATTTTAAGTTGTAATCTTTGCTAGAAGTGTGAATTATGTAGAAGTAATTGTCGACAGTTTTGTGTAAGAAAGACATGTTTTCTTGTTATTTTCTCCATAAAATATAAGTGACAGATTATTTGCTTTTACATTATAGTAATAAAGGGGGCGCCAGTAGACCATTTGCCCAGGGCTCCAGTCACGTGGGCCCGAGGCCTGGACAGGTGAATAACTATGAATTAAGAGAGATGGTGGAAGCCGATCCTAGTCAAACTACCCAGGAATTAGCGGCATGGTTTAACGTTACCTTACTCATAATATTGACTCATTTACGTCGATAAAATAAATACGAAAAATTGGTGCTTCATGATTTAACTGATCTGAAGAAAGAAACGCGTGTTGCAACTTGTGTTGCCTTGTTGAATCGGAACAGAAACGTAGGAATATTGGATCGAATTCTGGCATTTGATGAAAAGTGAATTCGTCATGATAACCGTAAAAGAAAAATGAATGGCTGACCTGAGCTCAAACGCCACAACAGTATCCTAAAGCAAAACTTACCAATAAAAAGTGAATGGTAACCGTTTGGTGATCTCAGCTGTTATTCGCTATAGTTTCGGCAATTTATACTTTAACCCCTATTATTTAAAAAAGAAAGCACTAAAAAATCACCTCCACCAGATGGTGACTCTAGCAAAAGTAGTTTTTTGCAGGAAACGAATTGACCAATTTAACTGACATATTAAAAAAATGAAATTTACAAATTTCTGAACTTAGATATCATTACAAATACGAAAAAGTAAAAATAGAATACGAGTTATTTATTGAGTTTTGAAAACTAATTTACTTTTATACATGAAAGAAAACCGGAAGGGTTGTCATGGAGAAATCAAGAAAGTACCACAGTGACATCTAGTTTGATTTCGGGAACTAATTAAAAAAAAATACATATTGTTAATTCATTGAAGAAGTATTTAAAAAAAACGAAAGCACTAAAAAAGCACCTCCACTAGATGGCGACTCTAGCTAAAGTTATTTTTTGCAGGAAAGTTAATTTTTGCAGGAAACGATTGGACCAAAGGCAGTCATTTCCGTTCCTTTTAACTAACATATTAAAAAACTGAAATTTGAAAAGTTCTAAACTTAGATGTCAATACAAATACGAAAAAGTACAAATATAATATAATTTGTTTATTGAGTATAACATGAAAGAAAACCGGAAAGGTTGTCATGGAGAAATCAAGAAAGTACCGCAGTGACATCTATAATTTTTTTTAAATTACTTATTGTTAATTTAATGAAGAAGTATTTAAAAAAAAACGAAGGTACTAAAAAAGCACCTCCACTAGATGGTGACTCTAGCTAAAGTTGATTTTTGCAGGAAACGAATGGACCAAAGACAGTCATTTCCGTTCCTTTTAACTAACATATTAAAAAACTGAAATTTGAAAAGTTCGAAACTTAGATATCAATACAAATACGAAAAAGTACAAATATAATATAAATTGTTTATTGAGTATAACATGAAAGAAAACCGGAAAGGTTGTCATGGAGAAATCAAGAACGTACTGTGAAGACATCTAGTTAGATTTCGGGCACTAATGTTTTTTTTTTAAATGCTTCCTCATTGGCGGCAGAGGAAAGATTTGATTTTTTGCAATAACTACTGGACGGATTGTTATAAAAATATCTAAAGAAAGCTTCATCATACGCGGAGTAGTAAATAATGACGAATTAAAAAAACTTTCCGGGTTCATTGTTGACACGGGTCTTCATTTAATCCTTTAGTAGTCTGGGATGAATGGGGCATAGCGGCGATAATTAAGAAATAAGGTGGCGCTACTTAATTTTGTTTATGGTAATCCTAAAGTACTTAGATCTTTAATTAAATAAAATGTAACAAAGTTAAATGATGGTTACAACTTTTAAAGTGCATCGTAGGTTACGTAAAAATGATTGTTGACGTTAGTCTAGGTACAACTTTTTTTTAAACTTGATTTTGCCGTTACACCCCCGTCACCCTCGACGCATATATTTTTTTTATAATTTAGGGATATGTCTACGATTTTCTTTTTTCTGTATTAGAATCTGTATTAGATTTTGGCGCCTTCCTAACACTGGCGCCCGGGTCACGTGGCACTCCCTAGATCCGGGCTCGACTTTTGATTGACTCTAGAATATTTTATTTATAATAAGAACAACGACAAATAATTACTTTTATTTAATTAGGTGCCCGGTTCACGTGGCCCACCCTAGATCCGGGCCCGACGTTTGTTTGACTCTAGAATATTTTATTTATAATAATAACAACGACAAATAATTACTTTTATTTAATTAGGTATGCATGAAATAGGTAGATTGTGCCTGAAGTAGATATTGTGCCCATTAGCTACCCCTGTAGGTAGAGTATCCGTATGGGCTAAGCAGTAGCGGCACGTGGTAGTGTTCACCCTCTTTTGTATTGAATACTATCTGAAAAAAACAAAAAACACTAATCAAAATGAACTTATGTGCGTAAAAGAGCATGCGGTCTATAAGATATCACTTTTCACCATTTGACGGGTTACGCAGGCTATACTATAATATTATAAAAAGGAAAGATTTCATTGTTTTTATGTTTGTTTGTATAAAATAGTAATAGACACCGTAACTCAGTAGTTAAGAATTTTTAAACTCGGTTTAAAAATTCTTTCACCTACGGGAAGCTACATCACTGCGGTGAACATAGGCTATATTTTATCCCGAAAAACAACAATAAAACTTCACCATAGTAACCATTGTTTACTATTCAATTTGCCATGTCATGATATAAATCGACATCCAAAGAAACAGTTTCCTAGGGACTACGCGGGCGAAACCGCTAGTGGAAAGCTAGTATATATATATATATATATATATATATAAATATAAAGTAAAAATAAAGAGGCGCAAGACAATTTACATCTGTAATGAATCTTTCAGAAACTAGGTATGTGTAATTTTTTTTGGAATAGACTTAGAGGCACAGAAATATATCAAGATCAAAAAAATTTTTGTTGGGAGGTCTACCTATCTCTTTAAAAAAAAAAACTTGAAATCAAAACAAGTAGATTTTGCTATGTATTTTTTTAGTGTTCAATCATGCATGGTTTAATTAAATGTTGTAATAGTTTCTAATTGTTAATGTATGCACAATGTAATATTTCATAAAATATACAAATTACATTTTAAAATTGTAATTAATTTATATATTAAGTTCGTAATCTATTATTTGAAATGGACATTGTTTTAAAACTAATTAGGAAAATTTTCAATTTATTATTATATGGCTAAATAAGTCAGTTTGTCACAGTTGGTTTTATTCTTTGAGATCGAAGACAACATCCACTTTAGGCCCCTCGCCCACGGCGACTTTTTGTAGCGATACAGTCGCGCGTTCGCTAAACGCGCGACTGCATCTTTTCTAACGCGTGTTAGTCGCATTTGCAACGCGTTACTAACGCACTACTGCATCGCGATTGTATCGATATAAATGCGCGAGACCGCGTCGCGCTACTAACGCACTACTGCATCGCGATCGGGACTCACGTCTTCCTGAGTATTCGAATAAGATTGCAAAAAGAAAGGCATGGGAAGAGATAAATTAATTATTCAATGCAGAATTTGGAGAAAAAACCAATAAAGAAAAGAATGATTGTGGTAAGTTATTTATTTAACTTTAGTATTGGAGCCTCCGCACACACAAAATGTGTTACAATGTACTTGAGTCGGACTTCGCATATACCGTACTTTATCATTAAAAACGCAGATGAGTGTTGAGTATGATGAGATGTTCTAGAATGAGTAAATCAGAAAACAAAAATCAAATAACAACAACTGATGACCATCTGGTCATCAGTTGTTGTTATATGATTTTTCTAAAGATTTTTGTGTCGTATCTGCATCGCGACCGAATCGCGTTTGCATCGCGACCGAACCGCGTTTGCATTGCGACTGAATCTGGTCCCGTGGGCGCGGGCACACAGCTAGCGACTGCTTCGCGTCTGTATCGATGCTACGCGCGAGAGCATCGCGACTGCATCGCTACAAAAAGTCGCCGTGGGCGAGGGGCCTTATAACTAGCTGATATACGACTTCGCTCGCGTAAATTATAAAATGTAAATAACAATAACTATGTTTTAATTGAACTAAGTCAAAAAACTATTTCGATGAGATTTTACCTTTTTTTTTATAAAACGCTGTTGATATGAACGTCATTATGATATGTAAACAAAACACGCATAGTCCTATTTCTTATCGCATTATGAGGTAAAAAGATTAAAAGATGTCCACCAGACAATACGAGTGCATTAACTTATAACGATTTCGCTATAAAAAAGGAAATTCTACTTAATTAGTATTTGATTTAGCTTTAGTGACAAATGTTTAATTTTTTTACTAAAAATAACCTATTTTTATCATATTAATAAAATTTACCTCTACATAAGGATAAAAAGTCTCTTTGTCCACACATTTGAAGTAATCGCCAACTTTGAATTGAAGTTTATACGTGCCAGCGTCCATCGATTCCTTAGTGAACGGAAATTGAATCCTTCCATCACTATTGGTCATTGTGTTGTGCCATAAAAGCCACTTTTCTTCTTTTTTCTTATATAGTTCTACAAATAGTCCGGCCGCGGGTCGGCCTGAAGATGTATCGAGCACGTGGGATGACAAAATTGGCCTTGACATATTTTATCGTTTAAATAAATTGATACTGTAAAACGTCCTGTCCCGCACGCGGTTAGCGGTTGAATGAATTCTGTTATAATTTTACGTCAGCTTGTGGGGGTCAAGCGATAAACCCTTTGTTATAATTATTTATAACATTAAGTTTTTAAGGTACCTATGCACTGTTTTAAATATAATTATCTAATTATGCAAGTCTTTATTAAAGTTGATGATTGTTTTAGCCGCCGATTTGATATTTGTTACAGCTGTGGTTGCCATCATTAGGTACTTAAATTAAAAAATACTTATTTATACCTACTTAAAAAGGTTTAAAGTGGTTTAATTATTCGCGGTCGACTTCAATGATAGTTTCTTGAATAATTAAACTGCTTTTATGGTAAGCACCAGCTTTTTTAAGAATGAAGTCTGTTTTTTATTATTTTATTATTTTTCATTTTTCCTATGTTGGATGGGTTTAAACACATGCAAGTGATTCTATATCAATACCGTTTTCTGAGGCAGACTAGCAAACGGCAGACTAGATAGAGAAATCATCTTATATCTAGATGCTTCATAATATAAATAAATTTCATTTACCTATGTATATATTCGCTTCATTAGCATTATTTTTGACAGTACGTCAGTATCTCATTAGATTATTCCGTTTGCTTTCATTTGATAACTGTATGTATTAACTTTTAGTGCTTATAATGTTGTTTGTTTTCACAATAATTTAATAAATTAACATGCTTGATATGTGCCAAGTTGAATTGAAAAACAAGGATGATAGATAACTCTGTATCTTTGATCTTAACAGGAAAAAGGTGGATGGTTTCTTTTTTTTCTTTAAAATATGAATCTGTGGTGCTATTTTTAAAATGTTAATAGATGAATAATAGGTACCCAAAATCACTGATCTAATGTGTATGTACGTAATTTGATAATATTAGGCACATGGCGTTATTAAAACACAGTGCGTTTTAGGTTCCAACGTTTTCGTTCTGGAAATTTCCACCTGCAGAACAAGCCCCGTGGACGGCCGGAGTCCCAAGTTAATAATAAAGAATTGAAGGCTATTGTGGAAGCGGATACATTGCAAACCTGATTACGGCAGACGTCTATTGTCAGCAATTGCAAACCATGCTGGATAAACTAGCTGTTAAACAACCGAGGCTGGTCAATCGCTCTACGCCACTGCTACTTCATGACAACGTTAGATTACACACTGCACAACAGACGGCTACCAAATTAGAAGAGCTTAAATTGGAATGTCTAAGATATCCACCGTACTCCCCGGACCTTGCTCCAATAGATTGCCATTTTTTTCGAAATTTGGATAACTTCCTGCAAGGGAAAAAGTTCAAGTCCAATGGGGCAGTGCAAATCGCCTTCAAAGATGTTATTGATATTGATACCTATGATATTGATATGACAAAAGTGCATAGATAACAGTGGTTTATACTTTGGTTAAATAAATATATTATATTAAAAAATATTCGAATTTTTGTTCCTCCCATACCAAACACGAATTTCATATATTCGAAACCTAATATAACTGGAAAAGCACAATATTTATATCGTATATTAGTCTAATAAGGGTTTCTAAATTTTGTAAGTGTATGATGTTTGTGTCCACGTATTACTTATTAAACTTCTTTTGAGCATTCAATTAAGGGAACAGTACAAGTTTCATAAAAATAGATTCATTAGTTTTAAAGACATAGACCGACTTTAATGACCTATCTGAAACTCCTTGGAAAAAGTTGTAAATGTACACAGCATGTACAATAAAAACTTTTTTTTTTAAAAAGCACCAACTTCTTACTTTATAAAAATGGTAAATAATACTTTCTTAAAAGTTACTTATTTAAGAAGTCGAGGCGTCTGTATGTTATTAATTAAATGACAGGAGCCCGACTTTTCAATGTTGAAGACAGTGACAATGTGCAAGACAGTTCTATTTTTAAGTTTTTATTTCATGATTTTTTAGTGATATTGATATATTTTTTAATAATAAGTAACACTAAGAAATATTAAATATTTATATAAATAAAAATATTCAACATAGTGAAAGTCTCAGAAAAGAAGATTTTGTTTATTTGTTCGGCATAATCTTTACAATAATTCTTAGTTTCTATAAAACGAAACTATTGGACCGACTTCAGAAAGTCTTTCATCTATGGGACGCTATTTAATACGCGTTGGACATAGGTTATAATTTACGCAGGCGAAGTCGCAGGGAAACAGCTAGTTTGATAGAAATTGGTTCACAATTCAAGAAGACATCGAATATCTACTTCCAAATTCCAAATACGCAATCTTTTATTATTTAGCTGGAAAGGGCCATGCCTTACCATACTACTTAATATTTGGGTGATATTTGGTGAAAAGCGTTTATTTTTTTTGTTGTAAAAGAAGAATTACTGATTCGCTTTTAATAAAATTTTTAATGGAACCACCTTAGTCTAATAAGATGTCAAATGAAAAATATTTTTAAAATTGGTCAACGATTGGCGGTAATGACTGGTATCTAACGGGCTCAATGGTGCGGTGGTGCCGGTCCTACTATTGCGCTGAGAGTTGTGGGTTCGATCCCCACCCAGGACAAACATTTTTCAGTGTCTGGGTGTTTTCTATTTATATTATGTATATATGTATGTGTATTCCCCCCGTTGTTTCTGATATCCGTCACAAAAGTGCCTAAGCTACTTACCTGGGAATTGGATCAATGTGTGTGATGTTGTCCAATATATATATTTTATATCGTTGAAATATATATAAAAACACATCACCGTCGAACATATAACCTCCTCCTTTTGAATTTTGAAGGCGGTTAAAAAAGGCGACTCATACTTGACCAGTTTTTAACAGAATGCCATCGCTGTCAATCTCGTTACTTAATTTACTAGCTAACTAACTCTAGTTGCTAGAGTTGTGTATATAGATAGGTATTTATCTATTTACACTGTTAATAGAGTAGGTACCTACATTTTATTTATGCACTTCCTTCCGTTATGATGCGTCTCAATAGAAAACTGTCATATTTCTCATTTAATTTTGCATTGAGGGCAGAGTTAAAAAATTGTAATTAAAATTTTAAATATAATTTCATAAAAGAAAACGAAATGTTTAATTAAAATATTTTTTTAATAAAACATCAGTAAATCGTACCAACTAATACCTAATCTAGTCCATGTTTTCAGAGTTGTTAATCATGTCGGTACCTGGTTTTCTTATAAAATTCTTTTTGATATAGACATCTGGATGCAGTACGTCCTTTCTGGCACCTTGTTCTAGAATATTTTCATCTACTATAACACTGGGACCGGTTTTCATTATTTTCCCTTTCAGTCTTTCGTCTTCGTATCCTAACATATTAAGGCTTGGCTCTCCGTGTTTCATATAGTCTATCCTCCATACTGGGGGGTCAGCGGGCTCTACTTTATAGCTCAAATGCTGATGATGCTTCGTTAAAGTCATATCAGGAATCTCCACCGACATAGAAAGTTTCTCCTCAGAATAGTCCCCGAATTCTTTTCTACCATTTTTCGCCACCTTATCTTTGTATTTTATCTTGTGCGGATAAAATTTGCGTATCTTCTTTCTGCCGGTGTACACGGCAGTTCTCTTTGTTTCTTTCTTATTCTTCTTGCTTTTCTTTTGCGACTTCCTTTGGGACCACTGGTTTATGTTATTCTTTTTTGTTTTTTCTTCTTCCTTAATTTTATCGTGGTAAGGACGGTCTTGGACTTGCAGAAAATTTGACAAATCTTCGCTGTTCACCGTTGGAAATAGTGTTAAGTAGCCTGGATATGCGGTAGTTCTGTCTGTGGTTAAAGTCTTGTACTTGATTTGTGTTATTGATTTTCCAATGAGTTTTTTTAACGTTTCATCTTCTGTGATGATTTTGCATGGTATCGAGGGAAAGTTTCTGCACAACACGTTTTGCATTAATGACAACACCTTCTCTGATTTTTGTTCGTTCGTTAGATATATATCAGTATGTGGGTCTTCTCGATCTTGTTGCCGGTTGTCATGTTCCTCAGAATGGAAGTCTTTCTGGAAATGTGACACCATTTTATTCATGAGCACATTATTTCTCATAATAACACCATGGCAGTGGACGAGCAGTGTTGTGATTGCTGCGATTTGGACGACGAACGCGTGTTTCGCCATTTCTTGTTTGTAGCTTCCTTTAACAATTGAAAATATTATTGATCTCAGTTTCTTTGCTATTTACCATAAAGTAAATGAAGTAATACTGAAGATATTCATTATGTTGACTTACCAATAATATAGGTTTTTCACAAATAACCACGGATCAAAGGCGATGACGGAGGTTTTAATTGTTTGTCAGATGTTTTATTCATAGTATTCCATAGTATTTCTGTTGATTGTAGATATTAGGTTAGTACTTATTTAAATTATAAGTTATCACGATCTTATTTTAATTAAGTTTCCAAGAATCATTAATTAAGTGAATTGATACCTGTTATTCAGCTAGAGTGTGTCCTGTGTACTGCTGGATACATACTGGACGTTACCATGTTGGTTAATTGGTCAACATAACGCTTTGTTTATAAACTAGTCGGCTGTTGATACTAATTTTCCGGTGTAACTATTAATATTTACAGTTCTGTCACGTGGTATGTGATAATGACCTCTTTGTTGGAGTATGAAGATTTGTTTAAAAGCCTCACTAGAATAATATATGTATTTCAATTTATGTGGAATACAATTCTACAATAACAACATTACACATCTCATGTTTTGTATAGCAAGTTTATGACTTACGTGCTGATCAGTGTTATTGTCAATGCGGCGAATACTATTAAAATTAATTATTATTTAAATAAAAGCGAATATACATTCTTGCTAATGTATGCTCGGTTTTATTGCAAAGGAATAAGGGTTATGCTGCGGGATATATACTTACTTGTCGGTTTTTACATGGGAATGTTTATAAGTTTTGCTTGTAAATAGATAACCCATAGTGGTCTAGGTATCTAGTTATTTATTGAAACTTTATGTCTTTTTCGTATGTAAGGCTGTCTATCTATACTATAATAAAAACGTAACCGATCGATGTCTGTACTTACATTGAAGATATACCTATGAAAAAACTGTTATAAGAGACATTTATAAACGTAACAGAACACAAACAACGATTTTTACATTTTTTGCCTGCTTGTTTGTTTGTCTGTGCGTTTGTGCGCGCTAATCTCAGAAACGACGGAACCGATTTTAATGCACTTTTCACTATTGTATTGTGGTAACCTTCTGTTACGAGGGTCAAACTGAAAGTTCTTAGAACTGGCCACTTATAAACAATATAATAAAAAAATAATTCTAAAATTTGAAAATATAACTCTTTGCCAATATTACTGAGTATATATTTCATTCATTTGTCATTTGTTTTACGATTTGGCGGCAAATTGAAAATTGTCTGTGTCACGTCATCATGAATTTAACACGAGAAAATTTTCGTGCAATGATTTTTTATGACTTTCGATGTCATTTAAGTCAACAAGAAAGTTATGATAGACTACGATTGGCCTTTCACGATGAAGCCCCATCTCGTGCGACTGTTTACAACTGGTTTAATGAGTTTAAACGTGGTCGCACTAATCTCACTGATGATTTACGTGAGGGACGGCCTTCTACGGCGACGACTGAAGATAACATCTGTGTTGTGCGGCGTATGATAGAGACTGACAAAAGAGTGACCTATCAACAGATTCGGACAAGCTTAGGCATCGGTATGAGTCAAGTGCACAAAATCCTCCACGAACATTTAGCGGTCAGGAAGCTTTGCGCCCGGTGGATACCTCATAATTTGACTGAGGCTCAAAAACTCCATCGTGTGGATTGGTGTCGTAAAATGATTGAAAGATTTAACGGAGGTGACTCAAATGCTGTGTTCGACATACTAACAGGTGACGAAAGCTGGATTTACTGTTATGATCCTAAAACCAAAAGACAATCTGCTCAGTGGGTGTTTCCTTTCGAGGAGTTGCCAACTAAAGTGAAGAGAGATCGAAGTGCGGGAAAAAAAATGGTGGCCTCGTTCTTTGGAAGGATAGGTCATTTTGCAACAATTGTGTTAGAGGATCAAAAAACAGTTTCTGCAGAATGGTACACTACCAATTGTTTGCCACTTGTCTTGGAAAAAGTTCGAGAGAAACGACCTCGCAGTAGGATCCTCCTTCACCACGACAACGCCTCGTCGCACACCGCCAAGCGAACGATCGACTATTTGGCGACATCAAACGTTGAATTACTGGGTCACCCGCCGTATAGCCCCGACCTCGCGCCTTGTGATTTTTATTTATTTCCAAAAATTAAAGAAAAACTTAAAGGAAAGCGGTTTATGAATGCTGAAGAAGCGGTGGCTGCGTATCGCGATGCCATTGAAGAGACCCCTAAGGACGAGTGGGCAAAGTGCTTTTCCCAGTGGTTCCATCGCATGCAGCGGTGTATTGACGTGAATGGACAATATTTTGAAAAGATATAATAAAACTAATAACTGGCTAATGTAATCAGTTTTTGATTTTCTAAGAACTTTCAGTTTGACCCTCGTAACATTTAGTGTAAGTTATATTTCAATCGGTCATAAATTAAAAAGTCATATCAATTTGAATTATTGTGTTCGCAAAAATTGCTATGAAATTAATTGCTTTTTTAAATTTCAGTCTCTGATACATTGTTTATCATTGTCAGCTCTTTTAAATCTCAATGCAGTGGGGTTCAGGCCTTTATTTAATAATTTTGATCATCCATCCCGTGAATAACCCATGCGAAAATTGCTTAACAACAACAATCGCGGATAGCGGCGCTTATCCGTTGCGCTACCGAGATAGTATTGATATTGCCAGAAAATTATAACTTCTACCAATATAAATAAAAAAATAAGTTCATAAGATCACATATAGGTATTATAAGTTGAGCTTATAATGGATATGTAGTATACGATCACGCGAGTAGGAGATCAAGCGAAAAGAGCGTTGCGCTGCAGCAATTAAGCATCGAGTAGTTTACAGTGAACGCACGTAGTATAAGGTTTTCGATAGTTAATTCTTATCGGGTTAGGTTTTTGTCTTCGAGGCTAGTGGAGGTGGTTGGCAGCCACCTCTGCACTGCAGGGTCTCACCTGTCTGGGAGAGGCTCTCAATGGATCCGAATCTCTCCATCTGCGATGGGATCAGTGATCCAATACTCGAGTGTCCTGGTGACTCGGCTGCGGACGGGTGGGTTCACGGAAAAGCGTCCTACTCACACCCTGTTGCTTGCCGGGAAAGAGGAACAGAGCCTCAAGCGTTTCCTCGATGTTAAAAAAAAGTTAAATCCACGTCTCAGCAGATACTTTCGCCAAAAAGGTACATAAAGTGTAAGAATGCCTTGAAGAAAGGTCAAACCTGCAAAACTGCTAAAATTACACCCTATAGAAACTTTGGCTCATGCTGAGCCATTACACCTTTCTCGGATGGGTGAAGACAACTCAAGTTATAAAAAAATGTCACTCTTTCTGTTTTTTTACATTCAAATCGCTTTACTTTGTAGTTGGTATTTGCAGTCTTTACTGGAGAAATAGGTTTATTCACTAGTCATGAGACTCATGCAATATTACATGAGTTGGAGGGTGGGTGCAAAATAATCGAGCTCAGTCAAGCACCTCATGGAAGTATATATTAGTACACGATTTTCGTCGAGTGTGCAAGGTTGAATTTAATATAATTTATTTTTTAGTTTTCTGACGTTATGCGACAAAAAAGACGCGCTTGTCTGACGAAAGATTCGTGGCGGCATGTCTGTCGACTCTAAGACTTTTATTGACATTCAAAATCACTTCCAAAAACACACGGTTACAGGAGATACTTGACGAGCGCGAAGCGTATCAACGCTCATGCACTATCAAGTTGAATCTGGAGCATTCATTTTTATGGAAAATATCTTGAGCTCCCAGAGAACTCATACAGCGAGCGTTTCACCTTAGAAAACTCCTGAAGATAACTTAGCACATCTAACTGCTGATCGTAATACATATGCAGTATTGTTTGAATCTGAAACTTCCTTTGAAAGAGAAATGCGGATGACTTTGCAGTATAGAGAGCGAGAATGTAGTTTTGATTATCGCCAATAATTGTTGCTTTCAACCTGCCTGTACCCCACCAGCGTACCTATTTAATTAACTGTTAGATAACTGGCTGCGTAAATTATAACTTGTGTCACCCGAGTATGACGTTGCTTACCGTAGGTGAAATAATTTTTAAAATCGCTTTAGTGGTTTCGGACCAAATTAGATGCAAAAAAAAAACAATGAATATTTTCTCTTTTTAAGATTAGTGCATTCGGTTGACGAAAGCTGTTAAATAAGTACCTAAGTAAAGTCTTAATTGCACAACAAGAAGAAAACACGAATATACATATATATTTTTCAAACATAACATTTATAACTATGTACTAAAGACAGACTTAGCGCTAGTCAGCGATTTCTATCAGGCAACCTAGCATTGGATGGAAAAACAAACAATAATATAGGTAGATTGCGCATATAACTAGACAGATAAATAAATAACATTTTTAAAACATCAAAATCAAAAGAAGGACAATTGAAACAACGTATCACTAATACGAGTATACCTAAATACGATAAAAATGATCAGACACAAGAGCAGAGAGAGAAGTGAGAAAAAATATAGAAAAATAACTATCGTAAGGGCCATTCATAGGATGGATTACCAAAACATTATTATCTTGAGCTCCTTCGTGCTTGATGCAAGTTAAGCCGTTGGTGCCGACTGCATCAGTAGTCGTTAACACCCACCAATTCGCATTGGGCCCGGGTAGTGCATTATGGACCACTGATCCTACTCGATTTGATCTCTATGGTTTAATCCTATGATTAGGAAAGAAACAATCCTCCTGATATACTTTCTCACGAAGGTGAAGTCGCGAGCACAGCTAGTATTATAATAAATTTATAATTACTGTTTGTGTCATAATAAATAAAATAAAAAAAATGTAATTTAGGGTAGCTAGCTCGATGGCATAGTGTATAAGTGCCGTGGCCCGCGATCGTTGTTGTTAAACAAATTTCGCAAGGATAAGTCGCGGGATGGGTGACTTAATTTTTTTTTATATTTCTAACTGCTTCGAAAGATACGTTAGGCCGTTGG